GTTCGCGCGTAAAATCGCGCTGTGCAGCGGCGCTCAGTCGCGCGGGACACGTCGCGGGGTGTGGTCATTCGTCGTGGTGTTCGTCGCAGTGGTGTACGTGCGTGCGTGCCGAGCGTACGTGCGGACAAGAGAGACAACGTCCCTATCTGTGCCTTTCGCGTGGTGGCGGTGCGGACGATGCGCGCGTGCCGATAACGATAAGGCCGTCGCAGGGATGTGTTTAGCAGGGGGTGCTCGGGCCCTGCTGCTCCTGGCGCTCGTGCTGGGCCAGCGTGCCGGCCGCGCCGATGGCAAGAATGATGATTGTGAGTACGCATCCCGTGTCTTTTATCGGTGTAATTTAAGAGTGGCTGGTAATGCTGGCACGAGAGTGCAATGGCAGCGCTCGATATTAACATTCGTATGAGATTTTCATCGTGCGTTCTTCCCAAGCGAACAATATCGTGTGAAGAGGTTTTAAAATTCTGCAAATAATTTCTCACCGGTTTTGAGCGAAGATATCATTATCTACTTGACACAATTGCTAAACAAAGCTTTTATCACTTGACTCACGTTCTCTCTTTTCAACTCTTTTTCAGTCATTAGTTGCTAAGTATCTGCTATATACTGTCAGAGCAGAGATTGGTCAATGAACTTTATCCGTTCAGACCATTTTGATCCATTGTATTCAAACAATTTTGATTCATCCTTAATCCTTTTCAACTGTCGCTATTATCAATTTAGTCGACTATGTTTATGGACGATAATCAGTTCTCTAATGCGTTTATAGATTAAATTTGTATTAAAGGCAATATAAATCGGAAGAGTGGAAACTAGATGAATTAGATAATTTCAATTAAACCAAAATTATAATAGACTGATAATTATAATACGAGCGCCGCGTCTAATATTGCTAGACTAATGCGGTTGGTGATAAATTGTGGCGAGTCGGAAAATTTATTTATAACATGAATGCAATTTATCTGACATTTAAAGATCTTTAAATTTTACAGCTGTGATGTAAAATCGTCCATTAATCACTCTCAAAATATCGATGTGAAATATTCAGGAACATTTTGATTTTTTTACATTTATCTAGAGCTATATTTTGATTCAAGTTTAAATCGATTTAAAAGTTATAGACTATAAACTGTATATTTCATTAGCTCTTTTAAAACGACTACGACATAAAATCGGACAAGTATTGCGGGAATACATACAGCCATCCATCGTTCACCTCTCGAGGCAAGAATTCGAGAGGCATCTGGAAATTTACCGTTGCTCTCGATAGCCGCGTACGACGCATGGCGCACAATAAAATCGTCTCGTGCTATAAAATCGAACGAGAATTCGCGTCACGGATTATCGTTGCGGCGCGCGCGGTTTTGCAAGAGGGATGGGTCAAGAGATATTTCCAGCGCTGATATTCTGCTGCTTTTCAGCATTGACGTATGCTAAAAATACAATCACACGCATCGTATGATTCCGTATTAAATAGTTCAACGTTAGCAGTGCGCGAGTTATCGCAAATTATTTTCTCGAAATTCTACTGCTACTTTTACATAAAGTACCGAAAGCAGTATAAATCTAATTCATATATCGTAACAAAAGTTGAGTTACCATAATAGTTCTATTAAAAAAAGTTCGTTAATTGTCTTAAGGCTCCTGGTCCCGTAGCCGTGAACTCCGCGTTGACAGTGGCGACATAATTGTGGTAGGAATAAAAACCTAGTCGAATTTACCTAGTCGATTTATTGTATAAGTAAATAGTGTAACAGTTTGACCTAATCAATTGATACGATAAAAGTAAATTACTGAATAACATACAAAATGCTAATTTATAATTCAAAAATTTGTTTACAAAAAAATAAACGCGATAAATACAGAATATATATAGCTTAGTACCGTTACCGACATGTCCATATGACAGAAATTCTCATGCAGCGTCTTAGGTGGAGAATCGATGAACTATTAGACGTGAAAAAATGACATGTTGACTACCCAATTTATTCTTGCGTGCCATTTCGTTAATATTCGTTAAATGTTAGTGCTGTGATATGTGACGTGTTCATGAAACCTGTAAAATTATCCGAAAACTAAGATTAGCAGGGAAAGCCCAACGTAGAAGGAGTATTTTCTACTCATACAGACAGCTGTCAACCGTGTGTTTTCTCGCATAATTAGGCTTCGCTTCACGGTTGATTTAACGATTGTTTATAACCTGTCAAGGAAAAAGCATAGTTTTCGGACAATTTTACAGGTGTCTTAAAGCGATCTAGAGTGTTACTTTGTTAAATTATCATTTTATTTAGAAATGGCACGCAAGAATTCTCGGCGTGTCATTTCTCGCTTCTGACGTCACGAATCTAATATGGCTGCGGTGACTACCTAGGAGCCTTAAAGATAGATTAAATAGTATGGTCATTGCAACGCGCAAGTGAGTTAGTAGAAATGTTATTTGAATTGAAAAGTTTTCTTCGCAAAGGACAAAGTTGCTTTTTCAGGAAAATATTTTTCTAAAAGGTCCGTTTTCAAAAGTAAAAAAAAGGGGGGGGGGAGATTTGACAAGAACTTGGAAACAAGAAGCGTAATGTAAAATTTTTCCCACTCGCTTTTCGCTCTCTTGTAAAATTTACTTTTTATGGCTTATGTCAGTAACATTCTCAGCGCTATGTTCTGCGTTTTCACGTCGGAAACTTCATTCGCGACTTTATGCACGACGAAAAGTGGGTTCTGCCCATATTCGTTGCGCTGGCACGAAGAAAAGTTGTCTTAATGCATTAGGGACGCATGTGTCTTGCGTTACGTGTACAGGGCGGCGCGCTTTAGATCGTACTTGGGGTAGGTAAGGTAAGGTTTAGAATACCATGGTGAGAATCGATTCCATCGCGACGGCTACACCAACCAGCACAAACGTCCACCGCACATTACTACGTGTACAGATAGGTCTTTGTGCGTTTTAGCTTCATATAAAGTGCTCTATTAGGAACGAAACACCCGTTTTATCTTGAACACATACAAATTTTAACGAAATTTGATGTATAATCCCACTTTTATTATTAATTGTGTCTGAATTAATAATGAAGAGAATCTAAAATGTATAAAGTGCTGTGCATTAAGTACGCCACGATAGTTCACGTACATAGAGAAGACTCTTTTACTGCTATTAATTTAATGAATATTAACGAATATTAATGTATACTATAATATTAACAAGTCATTATATTAATGTAATTATGGGGTACTTAATTGAATGCGTTAAAATAATGCTGCGTAGTAATCTTGTATATATATTATATCACATTGAAGCTAAATGTTATAGTTTCTAATTAAATGAATATTTACTACAGTACATTGATTATTAATTTTGCGCTAAATCGAATACTAAAATAAAAACTGTAATAAATTAAAGTGCACTTTGCAAAGTATTACAGTTTACAATTAATTTTGTTGTTCACAAAAGAATAAAATTTTTTTAGTTATTCATTAATTAAGAATACACGTACAGATTTTCCAAAGATAATGATTATAATTTTTATTATCCGAGCAAGATTTATCAAAGGTGGAAGCATTTAAAGTAAAGCGAAGTCGTTTTTTCCGTCATAAGTTTATACTTCACAAAGTTTAGAGGTCGAAAGCACTTTCCGAAATGTCGATACTGCGAGCGCGGCGACGCGGATTAAGTGCCATTTCTACGACGGCGAGTCGTTGTGTCGCGAATTTTTGCGGGCAAGCCTCCGGCTCGAGGGCTCGTATTCAAAACACGAGTGTCGTTTCCCTTTTTAGTGGGCGCCATTGTGCTGGCATAATTTCGCAGCAGTCGTCCGCGACAAAGAATTTTTACGATCGCGCGGCTGCGCGCCCCCGCTTACCCTGCGATTTCATTAGATGCGAATTCTAGCGTTGCATCACGACCGAGATTTTAGCATTTCATAGTCGATAAAACGTTTGATCGAACCAGCGCGCGAACCAATCACGACGCGAATGCAGATTTACGGGCGCGCTTGCGATGATTGCGTCTCGTAAATGATGCTGAAATATGTGTAAAACACACCGGAATGCGCGATTACTCGGTGACTAGATGAGTCGCAGATAAATGTCGAGTTTTATTTTATAAAATTGCAGCGTGCGTGTGATGATACTTTTTCTATAAGCTTTAAATTTGGCTGGTATTTTGGTGTATTCAATTATCGTATCTGTCTATCTATATCTAATAACAGCAATTTTAATCGTTGATAATAGAGATGCGGAAAGTGAGTTAAAGTGGTCACAGCACTTTGAGAACATTTCATAAAAGCATTGAAAACAAAAGAAAATAAATTTTACCATTATTTGCTCACACAGCGGCGTAAACAAAATCACTCGGAAAGTTTGCGGCGTTAAAAAGAAAAACGGAAAGGGAAGTTGTTTGTGAACGCTCACGTACATTTCGTTCGTATCACTGAACTTTCCTTTGTCACGTAGAGCGGATCAGGTCGATGGCTTTAAGGCGCGATAGGAGCCGAGGAACGCGCCCGGTCGCAGCTTTCAGGTAAACTTTTAAGAGCATCCGCGTTATATGCACCGATAACATTGTTCCTGGGCCTTTTATTTCCCGGTAAGATAAAATCGGTCGACGTATCGCGAGGAAAACTTTCGGCCTGGCGCTTGCGAGCTTCTTCCGCGACAAAGCACGCGCGGAACACGACACTTCTTTGGCGTCAATGCGGACAAGAGCGGCGAGAAATTCTTGCCGTGAGATGAGGTCACATTTATTAGACCAGCGGGAATAACTTCGCGCCACGACGGATGCAGGCTGATATCGTTCAGTGAAAACTGAACTGAATACTGTTGAAGAAACGATTTGTTTTGGGAACTTTACGCGGATTTGATTAGCAGAATAATTAAATGTGTCTTTTAGATTCGTTAATAAATCACTGGAAAATAAATTGTCTCTTCTACGACCTTTGAAGTGTAGCCCGCGAACGAGAGAATATTATATTTGCAACGAAATGTTTTTTCTAGAATTCGTAAATTGACAAGGTTTCCCGCCTGTAAATGCGTTTAAACGGTAAGCTCGCGTTAATCTTTATAGAGGTATTTCGCCCACCCGTTACGTTACAAGATTATACAGCATTTTTCCAGCGGTACGAAATTTATAGAGCATAGGTGAAAATTCATATTCGCCTCGTCTAAAAAGGAAAATAGATTGGGGCTCAGACGACCATAAAAAAAAAAACGGCGACGCGACCTCCGTCACGAGGGAGAGATACAGATAATATCGTGCGCTCTCGGCGTATTCGCGCGAGAAAACTTTTCGCGATGCGCCGGAGCTCCTCCAAGTGCT